ATGAACCTCACCCCTCTTGTAGGTATAAAGACGTTCGGTACAAATCCAAAACAATCACAAATTTCAAGAACTCTAAAGGTACTAGCTTTGTCAGATAACAGATTAATATTTAAGTCAGAAGATATAAAAACATTTTTTGATTTTGCCTCCAATGCCAATTTATCGAGTAATCATTCAAATTTTTCTAAAAATATTTTATCAAAATTATCTCCAGGAATTCTATATATTGATATAAAGACAGAATTCCACTCCTTGACTTCTATAAATGACCCTTCGAAACAATATGGTTCATTCAGATATTTCAAGTCATTTCTAATTTTGAAACTTACATATTTGTCTATCAACAAACATGAGCCTCCTCTAGATTAATCAACTCTAGCATAACAATCAGCAATTTTAAAATCATCTAAACTGTTTAATAAATTTATACATTTTGAATTAAGCCAATGTTCATTTAAAGAAATTACCTGAACCTTTATTTTTTGACTTTCCATGAAAAAAACTAAATATAAATAATTATTTAAGAAGCCCTGGATATTAAAATGTAACAAAACAAAACTGTCATCAAGATTCTTACCTAACTCATATTTTTTCTTTGACTCCTCAGACTGAACTACTTCTATAAAAAACATTCTGTATTATTCCTCAGACTACTATTTACAATTTCACTCTCAAATACCATGGAATTAATATGTACAGGGGACTCATCTTCATCTTCACTCTCACTATCTACACGCACTTCACCAGACTGACTTTTTGCACTGCACCATACACTTTCTAGTGGTTTGTTGGGCTGCATTGATGCTTCAGGTTGCATCATTGTTTTCGCTGCTGCATCATTCAAGAAGTTAACTGCATTGTGTTCCTCCTTTGGCCTTTGACATTCTTCAAGTTGTTTTGAGATTTCATGATGTACAGGGTCGTATTTCTAAATAGGCTAAGTAGGCTGCAGCCTAGAGCGGCAAAATTTAGGGGCGGCAGATTTAAAAAATTAAAACATTTTTTTTTACATGCAATATTATTTTCCTTACAAATTCAAGTATACATGTCATTTAAATAAAGCTTTTAGAATATTCATACATTCTTATTTTCTATTTCGACATACGTATTATTACACAATCTAATATGTACAATCGCATTGCGCCAACACGCAGCGAGCGGCGATCTGGTGTTGGCAACACTGGACTGGAAGCTGGCGACTCTCAGGCGCAGCTGGTGGATGTACGACCAGGAGCGGCAGCCACGACGCCGACAAGACAGCCGACAGCCCCCTCCCCACCACTGACACTTACACTACCAATACCATACAGTCAGTCGGTGGTACAGGGTAGCGTAGTGCACAAAGCGGCACGGTGTTTATCAGTTGTTTTAGTCGGCTAGTTGAATGTTATTTGTATATTATTATAATATTATTTGTTCTCTGGAGGAATATTTTGTGTCAGAAAGAAACAACTTCCCTTATTTTGAGGAAATGGCTATGAAAATAAGTAAAACGGAAACTTATGAAAAAGACACCAGAAGACAACCCAAACGAAAAATTTGGCCAGACGAAACCCGGAGTCAAGAAGTCAACTTGACTGGCAGAGATGACCTGAAAATTAACACGTTTCTCCCAATACTAGACTCCTTTATTTGTGAATTTAAGAGAAGAAAAGTGGCCTATAACGACTTTGTAGACAGATTCTACTTCCTGACTCAATTGTGTGACAGCAAAACAGACATCACAGAAGAGGAAATAAGAAAAAAGGCCACCAACCTTCATCAAATGTACCAAATTGACTTGGATTCAGATTTTAGTGAAGAGTGCACTCACTTCCGAAAACACTGTGAGGTGGGAATGGACAATCCTTCAGATAAAACGTTTGAAGGAATTTCTACATTTTTGAGGAGGAACTCCTTGCAAGATGTTTACCCTAACTTGGACATAGCAGTGCGAATAAGTTTGTGCATACCTGCAACAAATTGCACGGGAGAACGCAGCTTTTCCTGTCTGCGACGAGTTAAAAACTATTTACAAACAAGCATTTCTGAAACCAGGTTGAATTCGCTTTCCCTACTATGTATAGAAGCTAATTTAACAAAAAAGCTTTCTTATGAAGATCTCATTAAAGAGTTTTCAACTAAAAAAGCTCGCAAGAAAGCCTTTTAAATACTGTATCTTACTAATATTATAAATCTGAAAGTTTGTGAGTTTGTGTGTGTGTTTGTTGCTCAATCACGCATAAACTACTGGACGGATTGGGCTGAAATTTGGCAAGATGGTAGCTCACATTCCCGATTAACATTAAAGCATATTCTTATCTCAAAAACCCTTTCGGGCTCCGCCCCAGTGGCTCTGTAGTTCCCCATGTTAATCTTATGATTTTTTATATTTAAATGGAATTAATGAATCTTAACAGCTGTTTCAATTAAACAAGTTGGTTCTGTTCTATGATGTTCAATAGCATAAAAGTTACAAGCAGGGGCGGACTGGCCCGCCGGCCGGAATGGTGCCTTCTCAACATTCCAATATTTGCGCCCTCGTTAAAGGAAAAATTCATAAAAAATTTTAAAAAATGAGACGAGATGTGTTTTTAGAAAGCAAGAGGAAAAACTTAGAGTAAAAGTTTCAGCAGTGAATAGCAAAACATAAAGTCGGGTGTGAGACCTGAATAGACACTGTCGACAAGCGAGAGCAAAGCAGCTCTTCTCTCTCGTACGTGTAGGCCTACTCCGAGTGGAAGGCACTTTACTCTGTGGTCTGAGGTACTTAAAAACAGCTGTCCTCTTCCCGCGTCATTTTACGCCGAACCCGAAAAAAACTGCACTGCGACTGCATCCGACATCGGTCGGTGTCACGATGTCGTCTGTGGTAAACAACTAGTGAAGATAATTTAATATTATTCATATTTGTTATAATATTTAATTATTGCTCACACTATAACTATTTCACTTTAAGTCACATTTAATTTTTATCAATGTCAACTCAACTCTCTTGTAAAATGGCGTTTGCCGTGCATGTAATAAATAAATAAAGTGTGTGAGCTGCCAATTAAAACGTGTCTCTCTTTAGTGAGTGTCTGATTTGTGTGTCTGGTGTCGAAAGCTTCAATTTATTTTTATATTATTTACCTACACAGGAAACATGAACGAAAGCAGTATTGTAGAATCACTACTTTTACAAAATTTAAATTAGATTTAGTGACAGTGTATTTGTTAACTTAACCATTACACAGTAAAGGTTTAACAGTAAACATTATTTTAATACCGTATGTGGCTACCGCCTATTAATTAATTATTTCAATATGCACTATGGCACTAATTTGGTCAACTTTCCTATTTTACTTATAGATAGCCAGCTCAAAATACTTTCGTAGTTCTCTCTAGGCTATTTCGTTTGTAGAAATAGGTTAGGTAGGCCTACTTTAGGGTTACAGTTTTGACTTAATGTAATGCTAAAAAAGTTTAAGTCAATAAATTGGTTTTGTTCACAGTGAAAGCATATTGTTTGTGTTAAAATAATTTCATAGAAATCTAAAATATATAACTTCTGTTATTTACAGTGCCAAAAAATACAACAGTTGCAAGTTCAGGTTGTAAACAGGAAGCAAATGATTTATATTGTATGCATGCAGCCAATAAGTCATGCAAGGGAAAATAAAGAAAATACACAAATATAATACAAAAGAACCTAAGAAATTCATTTGTATCTTTATTTTTGTTAGGATATTTACTGTCAGAATAGCACCAAGTCGGGTGGGTAAATAGTCTAAATTTTGTAAACCAAACATTGACCAATAGTGTCAGTTATCAGATTTCTGATTTTCCACTGTTAATGCCTCTAGATTGCATAAAAATGCGAGTTTACAGGTATAATTTTTAAAAAATTTCCCGGGGGAGGACCCCCCGACCCCCCTCTGTAAAGGGGCTGGTCAAGGTTTACGCCCTAATAGAGTACCCAGTCCGCCCCTGGTTACAAGGATTACCAACAGGGTGCAGCACTATTATTTTTTTTTAAATTTATGACAACAGCTAATTTGCAACCAAAAGGTGAGTGAGCGTAGCTAACGAACTTCAACCTGGAGGCGAGTTAGCGTAGCGAACGAGCTAACCTAAAGGTGAGTGAGCGTAGCGAACGAACTTCAACCAGGACGTGAATGAGCCATGCGAATACTTATGAAGTTAAACGGGGCGAAGCCCGCGGGTACAGCTAGTACACAATAAATTAGTTATCAGTTTTGTTAATCGCTCAATGAAATACTTGTATTGGACTATACACAAAGTTTTTTTGTCGTTGTAAATATTTCAACTAATAAACCAGTGATTCAAATAATTTCGTCAACTTAAATTTCACCTTGCAGAACTATCTAAATTTAATTTAACAATTTTCCAGTATTAAAAGATATTCAATAGCACAGAAATGTATAAATTTCTTATATATAAGAATGATCTCAAATGTATTTTATTTGACGTAACATTAACATTATAAATCCAAAAATTTATGATACATGTTATTTTGTATAGTATACAGGTGGAGTTGATTGGTATGATTGAGTGGAATGATTATATAGTAATAGTATTTGTAGGTTATATTTTATGTTTGCACGTGTATTTTCGATCGCCGACTACCGAGCGGTACTGTGCAGATCTGCAAAAATTAGTCTGTGCGCATGAATAACCAAATATTACCACGAGGTAGAGCGGGGGTAATTTTCCTATAAATATGTTTTCAGCAGTAAATATATACATATATAAGGGGCGGCATGAGGACTTGTAGCCTACGGGCGGCATAAAGGTAAATCCGGCCCTGATGATGTAACACTGTGACAAACTCTTCATGTGCTCCAAAGAGTTCTTTGTGCTTTTTGTTCATAAGAAACTATGTAGACCTCAGCGCCAGTTGCAAAATGAAATCTCACTAAGTTTGTAACGAAGTGATGAGGCTCAATCATATCTCTAACACAACCCATTGCAGAGCAAAATAACTTGTTTAAACCTTTTGTTTTGAAATCTAATTCCAGGTCACTGAAGGCTATTTTGGACATGTTGATGGAAGATAGTTCTGATGAAGATATAATTGAAAATGACAGTGATGACAATGAAGAGGACCAGATAGAGGTAAAAATCGACGTGTCGGACATTGAAGAAGCGGATTTGCCAACGGATCAACCAGAAAATCTACAAGTGGTCGAAAATGAACTGGAACAGGTTTCAAGTGACGATGATGATGTGCCACTAGCACATCTATTCATGGTGAGGGACAAAGATAAGAACATTATAAAATGGAAAACTTATCCTTCTTTACCTAGGAATGTTAGAACAAGAGCAGAAAACATTGTTTTGCAGCTTCCTGGACCAGTAAGAGAAGGTAAAACTGCCAAAACTGATCTGGAATGTTTCTCTCTTTTAGAGGGCGGTGCTACCTTTGTGGAAGGGCAAGGGAAAAAACATCACGAAAAGCTTGTGGAAAATGTGGACATTTCATCTGCGGAGATCACTCTGTGTTAGTGTATAGAAGCTGTGTGGAGTAGACAATACCTCCTGTCATTTATAAAGTTTAGCGTAAGTTTTTTCAATTTTTTTTTATTTTGCTTTTTTATGCTTTCTATTTTTAAATGATATATGACAGTAGAGGAATAAACAGTCACATGTTTCAACACACTTGTAACTATGCACACCTTCAATGTCATGTGATGTACATAGATGTATACGTTCATTTGAAACTGCTATATCTACAGTAATTTCAGTTTTTACTAAATAAAAAACATATTTTGACAATGAAATATCTGTGTTTGTGTTCATTATTAAACTACTTTTTGAAATAAAAATTGTTTTTACTATTACCTTGAAAAAAATTACAATTTTTTAAGGGTAAAAATCCATAAATTTATTTTTTTGGTCAAAAAAGCATAATCCCGTAGTATTTCAAAATTTAACATTTTTAAGTTATACTGGACCAAAAAAAAACATGAATACTATTCATAAATAATCATAAATAGTCACTTAATAGGTCCTATATATACAAAAACAAAATGGGGGACAACTGTCAACCGCGTGAGTATCCATGTTATGAGATATGGCGCGAGTAGTGCAGGGTTAATAAGTCATTCCATAAGTTTGAATTCGTAAAAATCATCGTGTATTCGAGAGAAATTAATCATTTAGATCAGCGCAATCTGTTGGTGGCCCACATCAACTACGAAGAATTTAATTAAAACCGGCGACAACTTTAACATAGGGATGGAATGTCTAGTTGTAAGTCAAAGCTACAGGCTTCTCTATTTTCACCCCACGCCGTAAATAAAACATGTGATTGTAATTTATTCCATTTGTTTTGATTTTCTGTTTATATTTCTTTGTTATTTCGTCACCAGCATGGCAACCTATAAAGCCCATGTTAAATTTTTTTAAATTTCAAATTTATTTTTTGTGCTTGTATTTGAGCCTATTTTAATTTTAAAGCGATTCTGCACATCTACAGGATAATATCTTTCTAACAGTATGCGTAGATTTTCCCTGCAATGCACACAAGCTGAGAAAAAAGGGTTTAAAGAAACATGCTTGCCTATTAATATATAGATATATATTTTGAAGGCTGCTATACCCTTAAAGCCCTTCACAAAGTAAACCCACATCAAAACCCTAAATGCAACCAACTGGTTTTAAGAAATTCTGAATTGGCTCACCAGTTGGTACTGGAAACAAAGTTCCCCTCTGGTTTAAATTTAAGATAGTAAAAAAGTGATTCAACTCAGCTGAATTTTAATTTTCTTTTAGGCTGATTTTATTATTTTCTTTGATCTGTACTCAATCATATGTTCTCAAAATTAAACTATTTGTAAACAGTTCATATTTATTTGTTTTGTTCATCTTTACATTTTTCATTCTCTTTGTTTGAAAACGTTTGTATTAAACAAAAATTTGCAATGTTTCATGTTTCATTCATCATAAACTCTATCAAGATCTCCTCAAGAATATATAGATAGATAATAACATTCTAAACACTTGGTAAAAATTTGAATCATGTAGCATAAACCGTTTTGAAGATATATCAAATTTAATAGTTAAAAATTTTAAAAAACTGATTAGTGGGAATCGCACGCTAAAAGTTACACGTGGTAGTGTAACCATGGTGATACTTATTGTTGAGTTATGGATAAATTTTTTTGTTTATGCAAGCATTTTATTATTATTTATTATATTATTATGTACCTAATTATAATATTTTTAGTAATAATAATAATTATTATTATTATTTTTATTGCTGAAAAAAGTCAATGACCGGATATTTGAAACTATTTTCCGTATTTTTCTTAACATAGCCTAAGCACTAAAAAAACTATTTTTTAATTTTTGACCAATTTTTCTTATTTTTAGGATTATAAGGTAAAACCACCAAATATCGGCTCAGTTTTTAACTAGAAATATAAGGTCATTGAGAATTAATTTTAGTCGTCTTTGGTTCTGTGACGTAGCCTGGTCTGTTTTCTGCGCGCCAAATTGGCGGGAAGAGTGTGTTTTTTTTGTAAGTTCAGTACTGAACTATCTTTCAGAGCGACCTCACGAACTCATCAATTTCGGTAAGTATCTTATGCTTTTTTGTAAGGAAACTGACATTTTCCTTAAGGGATTACAAATAACTGATGATTGTAGGACGTAAACAAAATATGTTATTCAATTAAGTATTAGTTTAAAGTTGTTAATAGATCAAAAACGGTAGCTGAAAGATCTATTTTAATTTAATTATGAGGGTGTCGATTTTTGATTCATTATTACCTTGAGTTTATTAAATATTGACACTGATGTCGATACTTAATTAATTCAATATCTAGCAAAAATGTTATATCGACAGATACTTTAAAATGTTATTTAGTTGATTTTTATTAATGCATTTTAATATCAAAACACGAATATAAAAAACTGTGTAATGGTCAGACATATATGGAATACTATGATGATGAACGCTAAGATTTTCTTATTGTTATATCACAAAATAAATTGAGTGAGTAACCTTATGCTTTTTCGTAAGAAAGCTGATATGTTTCTTGGGGGATTACAAATAACTGATGATTGTACAATGCAAACCAAATATTTTATTCAATTGAGTATAGTTTAAAGTTGCTTACAAAACAAAAAACTGTAGCATATAAACTGGTTTTCATTTAATTATGAGGGTGTCGATTTTTGATTCATAATCACCCTGGATTTATGAAATATCGACGTCGATGTCGGTACCTAATTAATTCAATAAGTTACTTAGCAAAACTTGTATAAGTTATCGACAGATGCGTTAATATGTTGTTTAAAACGTATATAAATAGTTAAACACGAATAAAAAATAATAGTGATATGGTTAGATAGATATAGAATATAATAATTATGACGAAGATATGTCTACATAGACAGCTGTTGTGTCGTATATAAATTAGCTTGATGCTAGCGCTACTTAATTGCGACGTGGATTAAAATTTTATTTAGCCTGCTAGAATGTAAATAACTTTTGTGTTCTATTATATAATTGCACGTTGACTTTATTGTTTTTTTTACTTAAGCTACTTGTTAAAAAAATATGGGGCACATAAAAAATTCTGTTTCAACATACTAAACATAGTTTGGTTTACATCCACGTCGCGAATAGCGCTAGTGACAAGTTCGTTTACGACACAATAACTGTCTATGTACACACTTTTTTTTATCCTTACACCCTTAACTCTACATTATGTTTATGCTGTGTTATATTTTGCAGAATGGGGACTGTGAAAAGAATAAATTACTCCAATCAGCAGATGGAGGATGCTTTAGCTGCTGCGAGAGAAGGTGAAGCTGTGGCTTCCGCAGCCCGTCGGTTCGGCGTTCCGAGGGTTACCTTATTGGACAAGTTAAAAGGAAGAGTCCCTGAAAACTGCAAACTTGGGCGAAAATCTATTTTGTCTCCCGATGAAGAAACAATCCTCGTTAATTGGCTCCTTCACTCACGGAAGATGGGATTTCCTGTATCAGTGGACCAACTTCTATTTAGTGTTGGGCACTTGCTTAAATCATTGAACCGACCAAACCCTTTCAGTAATAAGGCTAACCCTTCTAGAATCTGGTACAAATTTTTTATGCGAAGACATCCCGAACTTACCGAAAGGGAGTGTCAGACCCTCACAACGTCGAGAGCTTCGGTTACGCTTGAAGCTTTAACTAATTGGTTTGTAGAAGTCAAAACACATCTTAAAGACAAAAATCTAATTGAAGTTCTCAACCAACCAGATCGTATCTTCAATTGTGACGAGACGGCATTTTATCTCAGTCCAAAGAAAGGCAAAGTAATTGTAGGAAGGGGTGACAGGTCAGTCCATAACATCTCGGGAAACAACGAGAAAGAAAATATATCAGTTATGTTAACGGTATCGGCCGATGGGAAAATAGCTCCCACATTTGTTGTGTAGCCTACTCATACAAGAGAATACAAACCCAGATTATTGAAAAATTCCCTGATACTTGGGCAATTGGAAACTCAGACAACGGTTGGATGACGGCTGAGCTCTTTTATGAGTACGTCGCCAACATATTTATTAAGTATTTGGATGAAAACAGCATTCAACGACCAGTAATTTTGTTTCTTAATGGTCATGCTTCACATATGACATTACCTTTAAGTGAACTATGTGTCCAAAACGGAATTGAACTAATTGCATTCCACCCAAATTCTACCCATATACTCCAACCCTTGGACGTGGGCGTCTTTGGGCCCTTAAAAAAAGCTTGGAAGAAAGCAGTAGACGAGTTTAGGGTGCAGAATAATCACAAAAAACTTGAAAAACCTGAGTTTGCCCCTCTTCTTGAAAAGGTATTAAAGAGCCTAAACCCTGAGTCGGTGAAGAGCGGATTCAAATCCTGTGGGCTTTTAACACTAAATGCGAAGGACACAAACCTAACAAAGATAGTAGGACAAGACAAGCAGAAGAACCATCAAAAGCAGGCTCCCCGTTCTGCTCCTGCAGAGAACCAAACAGTGTTAAGACAATTTTTCCACTACTTAAACACGAAACTTGGTGCAAAAAAATTGGCTGACTTTGAAAAGGGCAAAAACATTGCCCGAAGGGATGAAAGCCTTTATTTGTTGTGGCAAGAAATGAGAGACGATCTGCGGTCTCTTTCTTTGGAAACAGAGGAAATTCACACTACAAATGACTACACACCACAAGGCAACCAAATTGAATATGTTGCTAATGAAGATGAAAGAGACGTTTTAAGCAACCAAGAGGAAAGCGTGACTGTCGTCGATGATGCAATAGTCTTTGATTTCGATCCTGAAAACGTCTTTGAACTACCTATGGAACTTGACCTACCTGTGACTACAATTGATCTGCAAAATACATCAGTTTGGGACACCCCCTTAATAATTGCCAATAATACGCAAGATTTGACTAACTCTGTGAACTCAACTCCTTTGACACCAACTCCATCTGAACTGTTACAGAGCCCTGATGCTGGGATGCTAAATACCAGTTGCCAATCTATTACCCCTGAAACCAAGAAAATGTTTTCTAACGACCCTTCATCCACCACCACCATTCAATCAAACAAAGCAAGAATCACTAACTCTCCTGAAGTAATACGAGGAATTGAAGAGCACATTAAAATAACATGTGAACCCCAAGCTACCGTTGAAGCCTTGTTGACTCTTTCCGAAAACCAAACTACGCCCGTTAAACCTCCTACTCAGACTTTAAAGACCGCCTACAATGAACCCAAAAAACCAATGCCT